GAGGAAAATACTCTTGGTGTTTTTGGTAACGGAGTGATGCTGCATCAAAATGTGACTCTCAGAGGTGAGTTAACAGTACACAATGTCGCTGGGACATTTTTCTAGCTCACCTGCACATCCCAAACTCCCAAGCTGCACAGACATTGTTACTGCAATTAAGTTACATATAGAGTTACATATACAAATAACAAAGCATCTATACTTTAGAAGCACATTTTCTTATATGCAACTTGCTGGATATGTAGTTTGTACCAAGATGCCATTTTTAACCATTTAAGCTCCACTGTGTGACAGACTGTAGGCTAACCGACATCTTGCTAACTGCTTGGCAGCCCTGCAAAAGCTGATTGTTCGGTGTTTGACTGTGTTACAGCTGGATAACAGCGGGACACTGCTGGCGTCAAGGACACACACAAACACACCCACAGAAATCACACATGCATCCAATTGTCGTAGGTTTAAGGGAAACATCAGCCTGCTCAGCAAATATCTTCAGCATGTATGTTCGGCACGGGCGCCTATGAAGTACACACAGACTCACTAAGCTGGGGGCAAGGAGACTGTACATTGTCTGATAAAGAAGGCTTTCAAAACTGTTTAGCTTTCATGTTTTCAGAGTGATGTGTAATCGTTTTACCTTCTGGACAGCAGAAGAGTGTTTAGTTGGACAGTGCCACTTAGTTTCACAGCACAGATAATTTGATTGTGTTCTTCTGTTACACTGTCAGCACTCTAATAGCCAACATTTAGAAATTCAATATTTTAATAAGCTTCAAGTGTTTATTTTGCTGCTAACAAACAACAACGGTGTAATTAAAAGCAGTGACTGACTGATTTCAATGAAATCTGATAAAACTTTGTAGGAGTGTAGAGCGGAGTCATGTTAACAATCCACCAAACCCTTCCAGGTCAACTCAGTGACTTACTGGTTGAAAATGGACAAACATGCCTTACGCCATAGAAGCCATGACTCTTACAATGTGTATGTCTTGTCAACATATAGAAGGGACTGTGTAAAGATTTAAAATATCATGTTACGTTTGACCTCTGACCTGTCCTTCAAGGTCTATAGATTGATCTAAGTCATAATAATACTATATCGAGCTATTTTTACATCTGTGTTTCTTACCACCATTGTTTTTATTGACAGCATGTAGGCAACACACAGGGAATAATATATGGGAATTCTTAATATCACATTACTGTGGACCCTAACTTTCATAAAATGTATTTTAACATTGAAAAAAGTTTAAATGTTATTGTTGTTGTTTGGGAAATTTGACCTTTAACCCCACTCTTATATTTTTAAAGCTGCCTTTCTTTCAAGTTGACCCCAAAATGCGTTACGGCTTTAAAGAATGTATTGTCAAGAGAAAGAAAATGGGTGGCCTAGTTAGTTAGAAATGTAGTCTAGTGTAATATTAAATGTATTAATTTTATTTACAAATCAATAACTATTATCCATTTTCTGCGCCGACATAACAAAAATCTTTCCACTTGTTTTTATTTTATTACATACTTCTTAGAGTACATTTAAAAACACAGGAATGTTATTGAAAATCACCTTTTTCAGAAGTATAGGAGGCTAAGTTGGGCACTGTCAGCTGCCAGTAATTTTGTGTAATGACTCCTTAATGCAGCCTCACATGGTCAATGTCTGTTATAAACTTTAAGAAGAGCCATAGTTAGTTTTTCTGGCCCCATTTTTTAAGACATTAGAATGTTAATCTGTTGTGAACGTCTCTAAAACATGGAATTATAAATATATAAAATCTGTAAAATAAACACATTGTTTGCTTATTTTTCCACTAAAATCTCCTAAATTGATCTGTAAAGATTGTCACACTGTAACAGCATGAGGAGTCTGTGTGTTTAGTAGTACAGCATTTGTATCTCTCCTTACACGTGTTTAAATGTGGATCAAATCATTTAATGTTTGAGAGTGAATGACTGGATTTTATCCAAGTAATTAATAAGTAAGTAATTCAAAAGAGAATATGTTCAAATTGGTTATACTGCATTTATTTGAAGTAGAATTGTGTTTATGGTTTGCATCAACACCAGGAAGCGATTTGGGGTCACACCTGACAAACATCTATCACGTTTGAATGAGTTAGGATGATAAAAATCACAAATAACCTCCTCCTCAAATCACTGGCAAGGCCTTCGTGGGCGCTGTCAATGCAGCTGATGAAATTAGATAACACAAGTGTAATTTTATAATGAAAAACAAAAACGCTGATGTGCCTTTGATGCAGCAATTAGAGGGGGAGATCCTAATGATGATAATTTGAGTTTTAATTCTGAACCCACTAGTGACTGGCAGAGTCTATCAATTACTGCATAAAACAGGCCCCAGCTGCAGCAGCCACGGCAGCCGCCTCCCAAATTGTCGTCTAAACTGCTGTCGTCTCTTCTCCCATCGCTCGCCGGCATAATTGCAGTTTAACCAGTTCATCATAATCACACAACAGTTTCCCTTCCCAGTAGAACAGGGATGTGATTTTCACATCCAGAGTGTGTGCTGAGGACTGTGTTTGTGTGTGCAGATGTCTGTTTCTATATGGATGTGTACAAGTGTTTGTTTTCAAGAGAAAAAACAGGCCCACGCCTACCCCCAAACCCCTCAGAAAGGGGTTTTGGTCTTAACTCCCCCAAAATTGGCCACAATGGTCAGCTGAGTTTTCTTTACTAATACATAAAACACATTATTGTTAGCAAGAAATAGCAATAAAAGTCATAGACTTTTGTTAACCCTCATCATAGGTGATAGCTATAACTCCTTACTCCTCAAATAAATTTACATTTATTTGGAATTCAAAGAGTCATCATAGTAATGGCTGAGCTATTTGCTACTATCATGCTACAGGTGTCCTCCATTCTGTTGTCAAATGAAGATACATGTGCATACAGAAGAGTTTACTTTTTTAATTTCCTAAAAAAAGAAATGGACTGACTGCCAAAGCTTACAGGCTAATTATAAAAAATACGTTTTATTTGTTTCAACTTGAGAGAGAAATCCTTCTTCTGGTGCTGATACAAATACTTTCACTGTAGTTTGACCTTAATGTAAGATAAATTACAGAAATCAGACAAATCAAAGATGTTCGTGTATCAACAAAAATGTTACATTTAATCTCTGTGTGTAGATGAAGCAGGCAGAGAGATTTTGTTAACTTCTCTCATTTGGCCCCCTGCCGTCTAAATCTCCCCTTTCCAAAAGAGAAAAGGCAAATTTCAAGGTAGAACAACTCAGTTTTGTTTTTCTGCATCTTAGCCAAATGCCACTTGATGCCAGCATGATCAGCATTTCCACCACCAGCTGCAGACAGGAAGACAAGCACAGCAAGCATGTTACACTGAATATAAACTAAGAGCATGCTTTCTTCACTTACTGACAGCTCATAGTGTTGGTGATCTATTAGATGTACCACATTGTTACTTTATGTGCTGTAAATGGCTGTGGATAGGGGCGTCGGCTGAGTTCCCACAGTCTCAAAGGGATTCTTTTCAGCTGAGAGGGTAAATATAACAATCGATTGTGGTCACTGTGAACATTGTAGTAGCTATTCATTGAAAAATGTATCACTTATGTGTGTAAGACTCACAGAGCCAATTGAAATAATCAAAAGATCTCAGCAAGTTGTTCAGCAGCGCTTTAATCACCTTGGGTGACAGGAAGTAGAGGAGGTCATCTACTAATCCGAAGGTTGGTGGTTCCAGTCTGCCTGCCAAATATTCTTGGGAAAGATACTAACCCTAAGTATCGATGTCTGTGAATGTTAGATAAAAAGCACTGTGTCAAGTTGTATAGAGCACTTTGAGTGTGATTTCCTGAGGCCAAATGGTCCAGGATGTGAGTGGGCGTTAAGGCGTCTGGGGAGGGATCTCAAAACTGGATTATAGATGGCAGACAGGTGATGTTGTAAACCCCCGCCTCTGTCCAAAGATGGTCGTTCACAGTGGACATAGATGGCTTCTTTCACTCCTCTTTCAAACCTTGACTGATTGTGACCCACACCTGTTTTCACACTTGGCTCGTGTGATTAGGCAGAGGATCAATAGGGGGTCCATGACCCTCTTGGGGACACTCCCATAGGGCTTAAAATCTGGGACTCTCCACCAATCGCTCTTAGAACTGAAGAAGCTTCTTGGATAGGAGGTGAAACATCTTCAAGAAACCCAAAGAAGTCCAGACGCTTTTCTTTCCAAGCTCCTTAGACTACGATGACCTGGATGACTGAGAACCTTCACAAACAGTCCATTTTACATTCTTCCAGAACAGAAAACTATGTAAGCTGTGCGAGATGTGGAAAATTCTGAGTTTATCTTTGCACCAAAAGGAAAGATGTATGGTTGCAGCGTGTGGACGGAGTCCAGATGTTAGTCAATTTTAAAAAGAGGTGTAGTAAACAAAGATTTTGTCTGGTATGTTTTGTTATACGTGTCATTTCCTGACAGACTTCTTTTTAAATTAATGTTTATGCAATTTGCTAATAATAAATTCTTAATGTTTCTAGCTGCTGCATAGATAAATTCTGTATAATTTTAATTTTGTCAGCATTCACAGTATTCGGTCTCTATCACTGTCATTACACATATCACACTGCTGCTCAGGCTTCTGTTTGGATAGAAGTAGCTGTATTCACAAATTGTTTTCCACTCACTCTCACTGTGCTGTGTTTTATGATCACTATTAAGCTGCTACCAAAGTAATTCAACACACAGAAGTTGCATATTTAAAGACTTCAGGCTGCGTGCTTGCTTTAATCACTCTCCATTTATTAGAAACCAGCCTTTATTTGTTCAGCTATGATTTAAAGCTTAACAACTAACTGAATACTCATTATATTTGAGAAATGATTAAAGACACAGAATCTAGATGGAAATAGGGCGTTGGTGGATGGCTAGTTGTTTTCCTGCAATCATTTTCATTAGAAATACATAATCACACAATCCTAAATCATGCCACAAACATCTTTCATTATCTGTCTCTGCAGCAGACCAGTGACGCTCTCATGGTGATGCAGGTCCAAAAGTTTCCAGAAGAGCAGGCGAAGAAGGAAGTCAGAGGGCTGGATCAGCTGTGCTGTGATCTCCCGTGCGAGCCAAGCTGTCTGATTGGCTGGAGGGCTGGAGGGCCATCTTGCCTCCCTGGCAGGCAAGTGGCTCAAGCAGTTTGGTTGAGGAGGTGTGTGTGTGTGAGAGAGAGAGACGAGAGGAGGGGTAAGAATTTGGAAAAGCAGAGGGTGAAAATGTGTGGCTGTTGGGGTTTTATGACAGAGGACTGCGAAGATAAGGGATGGATGGCTGTTACATATGTGTGTATGCATTGTGGCATATGTGTCTTTGTACTGTATGAGCTTATATGGGCAAGAAAAATCATGGAGGTCATTAAAAATGTCAAAGTTTCTGAAACAAGGCCAAAATAAGGCCTAAAACATTACTCGCTCCGCTCGTCTCTTTATACTGTAGCTGTGCAAGTGTTTGTTTACATAAATATGGTTTTAATTATGATAAAACTAAGAAGTCAGATATTTAGCAAGGCTTTATCTTGGTTGCCACAGCTGATGGGGGGAGAAATCTGGGCTCTGTTCAGGCATCTCTAAACAACAACCATTTATTTATAGACCCGTCTCTATGCAAAGAGCCCATTCTGATGTTGCTACAACATCAAAAGTATATTTGACAACCTGCTTCAGCTGCCTCTTTTTGTACTTTTTCATCCATCCAAGGAAGTGATGCCTTGTACGATCAATTTATTAGCGAACAATCCACTTAGTCTTATTTTGAAAGGTCAGTTATGCGTACCGGTTAGCACTGGCCCTTCCTGTTTGTGTTTCTTTTCCATCAGGCTGACCAAGGTTTTGTTGAGCCTCACTATTGGTCAGAAGGATATTCTTCTCCTCTGTCAGCAGTAATGTGCCTTCTGCTCTGGTAACCGATGCCAGCTAAAGGGCCATTAAAACCAGTACCTGCAGTTGGTGTTCCCCCAACTCTGTGGAGAGGCAGCTGAACGACGTTGAAGATCTTATATATTTGACAAAAAATATTTGGCAAATTAGATTATTATTATATGATGATGAATTATAGTATTAAGTAACTTCATCAGTGCACAGATATCCATTCATTTTTAAAGTCCTGTTTTGCAACCTTGAAGACAGACATAACAAGCAACGAGTATCTAACAGGAAGCTGCACGCTCATCCGCTATGCAGCTGGCTTTATTCCTTTATTTTTCTTAGAATGACCAAAGTAGACTTCATGTGTTATTCTGTAATGAGTGCATAAACTTGTCTGGAAAATGTTTATAGAGGTCAAAGCCAAGACTCATTTCCCATAGACCTCTATACACCTCTATAAGGCACATCAGCATGGGGTTCATCTTTTGTAGCTCTACGGTCACCTTTATACTGCCTGTGGATGGATGATATGGAGACCCTTATTGGCATAGATATCAAACTAAAATGCTTCCTTCACTGAAACTAAAAATGTAATTTTATTTTCAGTGTAGCTCTTTTTTCCTGTATCTTTTAGTAGACTAAACTTAGATGTAGCCCTGTATAAAGTGCATGTACTCCTTCGCATATTTATATACATTTGTTGGGGAAAATAATCCAGTTTTAAATTTACCAGCAACACATTAACAAGTGTTTGTTTGCAGGGGGTGGTGTGTTTACGTGGACCGTATGCATGTGCAGCAGACACATTTCCAAACCTCAGATGGTGAAGCAGAGCCTGTGGATGGGTGGGTCAGAGAGTAGCAGCAGGCCAGTGTTGGCTCTGCTCTGGGCTGTAGCAGGGACACAGTGCAGGCTGAAATGTTAAACCAAGGTCCTTTGTGTTATTGCTGACATTATGCTTCATTCCCTAACTCCCCCCCGGCGTGCACTTTTGATGATCACACAGCACATGCAGACACAGACATGAGTGGGCGTAGTGGACTATAGGACAGATAATGACCAGCACTTAGCTGCTAATGCCTAAAGAGCGGAGCTTTTGACCGTCCCACTTCAGCTGCCCAATAATTACATGATCACAGTGTTCCCTCTGGTTATTACAAAGTGGAGGTGAAATGTAGCTTTACTTTTTAAGAAATACTTTATTGTGGAAATGTAGCTCTCATAGCTGTAAATTAGATTAGATTAAAAAACTAAAAGTTCAGTTTTTACTGTAGGAAACAAGATTCCTTAGAGGAAAACATTCATCACCCTAAACGTAACTGTTTGAGCACTATTTGTTAGAGTTGTGAGAGAAATTCATTTCTGCAACTCCAGATTCTTGTTTAAGGATCTTTACTGTCCAGTTTCAGCTTTAAAACCTGTTAACTGATCCACTTATTTGTGATTTCTATTGAATATTGGACGCACAACAAAGATAAGTTTGTGCAAAGAGAAGTTATTTGTCTATGTGGACGGGAAAAACTCATTAGTATGTAGACTTTTAATCCAAAAAAACACACTCCTGCAGTCAAGTGGCTCATTTTTTACTTTATAATTAAGTTTGAATATTTGTGATACTTACAATTTGTTTAAATTATCCACAGCTAATAACTTCTGTTACGTGTTACTCTTTATTTATTTTTGTGCATTACCAGTTAATAGAAGATCAAAATGAATCTGTGTAAACGGAGAAGAAGACTCTTCATGTAGGCGGGGTGGGTTTATCGGGGTTTCAGTGTGATTTAAAGTTTCAGTGAACAGATGATGAATATTTTAATATTCCTAATGCATTTCCAGCATGGTTTGTATATTACACTGTGTTTTCTAACAAAAACAGCAGTTTATATTTAGACGAACAGTCTTAACCTTTCACAATCTCCAGTGGTGGTGTTGTCAGTCCACATGTGTCTGTGTGTGTGTTTGTGCGGTGTGACATCATCCAGTGTGGGGCTTTGCTGTCGTGACACCCATGGCCTTCTGGAGCCCAGACACCCCCTGTGGAGACCAGAGAGACATGTCACCTTGATCAGTGTGTCCCCGGGAGACTGCCACCACATACACACATCTCTCCTTTTCTCTTTATAAAATATACGTTCCTGTGGTTATGGAGGCTTCCTCCTGCTGCAGATGCCTCCATCCCATCATCTCGCCATCAACCTTTTATACATAAAGATGCTAATATGCACCCTAAACCCAGCTGACTACCTCTTCACTGACGTTTCCTCAGCTTTGTTTGTGTAAACTGATGCGGGTCATGTGATAGCAGGAAGAACTCAGCCTTCCTCCTGCTCCAATCAGAGATCACGTTAATGGATCCATTCTTTTCAAAGACTATTGTACAGTTATCGTTTTATAACCCTAATAACCGGCAAAGGACAGCAGTCCTGTGGATTATAATCCCTATGAGGACATTTGGTTCCTGCAGCAGTAAAAGTGAAAGGATTCAGGAGGCAATAACAAGAGACAGAAAGCCTGTAGAGAGAATAATGCTGGTAAGTTGGATGTTATTTACCGATACGAATGGATAGATATATGAAAAGGCAGCTTCTGGCTTTACATGATCAACATGACGTCACGCCTTTCGAATCAATTAGGCAACATAGACAGAGCTCCAGCCCTCCCACTGGGGAAATCTTTGTCTTTTCTTTCCAAGCGCAACTTCCAAGGACAGGTGTGGTGTCTCGTGAATTAAAAGGCGGAGCGTGGAGGATGGCGGTGGGGTGCAGTGCTCTCCAGAGCAGCCGGTTTCTCTCTTGTGACAGGTGATAAAGTTTGAAATGCCAACCCAGCGCACTCCGGGGCGCAGGTGTGGAGAATATGTCCAGGAATAGCCAAACCCTCTGTTCACAAGTCTCTTGACACCGCTGCGACAAATATCGCCCCTGCTGAACAACCGCCGGACTGCAGACAATGATACGTGTCACCTTGGGTTCTGTTTTTTCTGCTGTCTTTTTTGTGCACGTCTTGCCGCAGCACTTGTTTGGATGTTTGCATCAGGGCGGTGGTGATCTGTTCACCTTTAATATCAAAAGAAAATCTCTTCTCCAGACATTATATGGATGGCTCTCCTTCAAAGAATATGGTTTAAGAGGTTGTAAACTCTTTATTTTCTGTTGAGCACCAACCAAAAATCTTAAACTCAGGCGGCCAAAAGTGGATGAAACCAATTAAACTATAATAATAACAGCTGGGATGGGCTCCAGCTGCCCCCACAACCCTGGATTAGAGAAGCAGTTAACATAACGGATAAATAGTTGTTAATTGTTGCAGTTTTAACTGAATTATCATTCGTCTTTTTTCTAGTTTTTGTCTAATATTATTATTATTAAACCTGGCAACATGAATTGGCATTTTTACTAGGATTGTTTAGAATACAGGAAACTGTTGATTTGCTCTCAACTATGAGATGAGATCACCATCCGTTTGGTGTCATTATTTAAATTTTAAATATGTCGCATTACAGTTCACAGCTCCCGAGGAAGTCTATTTGGTTCCAGTATGTAAATGTAGGTAAAGTAGCAGGTAAATGTCTTCATATTGTACATACAGTGGTCATTTTACAGGTCCGATCGATTATCGATCACTTATTAAGTCACTATTGAGATCACAATTATTGAACATAATTACTCAGAGACTATGAAAAAATATTAGATTTAAAAAAAATCTTAATTATAATTCAGTAGGCTGAATAAATAAATAAATGAATATATGTGAGCTGAACTAAACTGGCCCTGACAGAGAATGAGTTTGAACTTTCCTGGAGTGTTGACAGGCTAAATAAGAGCACGTGGCACAATAATCACATCTTGATTTTCTTATATCACTAATTCTGTAACGGCACAGCCCAACATGTTGAAGTGGTAACAGCCACTGAGTGGCTTATACCCGTTGATATCACCATCATAAGGTATTGCCATCAGGTGGACACCTCCTCCACCCTACAGGCTCAGGAGATGCCTCACTGAAAGGCAGTTGTCTCGCCCTGCTGAAATAATTTTCGCAATATTTTCTCTTTGAGAGACAGAATAGGTGGCACTGGCTAAATTTGGGATTTAACCTTGATTTGGATTTGATCTTTGGTCATGTTTAGGGAAAAATCTCCTTGGTTAGGGTCAGGGAAGGAGGATGGTTGGTTAGAATACACCCTTTTGCACAAAGCTCCCTTTTTCTAGGTTACCTTGGAGAAGAGATTTCATATCCAATACAAGGTCTCCTGCACAATCTGGGTTGTTTTCTGTTTATCGCCTAGAGTACGAGTATAAGAGGGCTCCTCCACGCCACATCTATGGGAGTGATTACAACCGATAAGGGCCGCTTAATAGGATGAGAAAATTTGAGTGCTTGGGGCATTTTATAA